GACATCCTCATCCTTACAAAGATAAGGTGACCTGCCCCAGATGGTAAGAGGTTCTCCTATTTGGGGTGTTCTTCTAGCACAAACAAGCACAAATATCTGAGGTCAATAGACTGATATCATTCCTTGATGTCTAACAGAAATAACTTTGGCCCTGTTACTACTAGTTGTATCTTTAGGGCATTAAGTACCAGGTAATAATGGAAAACCCTCTCCAACTATCCCAATGAAGGAGATCCAAGCAATAAGCACCTTCAGGTGGTGCTGCTCCTAAGTTGTAAGACTCTAAGTAATATCAACTGGACATAAGCCACATCCTACATGCCCTGTTAGCATACCAATGTATTAATACCAACCAGCCACCCTAGAGCTCTATCAAGCATCTGGCCTTAATGCAATAAACCACACTCAAAGGAAACATGAGTTGAAATATTGGCTGCTGTACCAAAGAAGACACCCTCTGCAAAGATATGTTGATAGAGAATGTAACCCACAGAGTCCACGCAAAGAGGAAGCCGGCACTAAGAGGACTTTCTCTGAAGGCCATTCATCTTTGGAAGCAACATTTCAAGTGGATATAAACCACTCTACTTGATGACTAAGGTCCCAATGTGGTCCATTTCCCCCCATGTCCCAAACTAACCAAACATCTGCTAACTGGTCTCTTTAAGATCCTCCATTGGTAGTTTGTAGCTCATTATGAAGGAAGGAGGTGTTGCTTGACCTGGGCTATCTGGCCCCTGCTTCTTTGCACAGTTTATACAGATGTAATCTTCATTTTCAGCCATTTCTGGAGATACACCCACACAAACTTGATGAAACCACTCATCACAGCCACCATCACATTGTACCCAGTCTACCTGTAGGAAACAAGATTGGGGAATGTTTAGGTTACATAAACATTAAGCCTAGAATAAAAGCAAACCAAAGAGCTTTCTTGGCTTAAATGATAGCAAACAACTGGGATGTCTAGAGACAGGCAATGACTTCTTATGGGGTTATTTTTTAAAGAAAGAAGCTGAGAAGTTAATACCCCAAAATTATATTTTACCATAGTGTGTCCACAAAATTAGGCCTCTCAGGTACTCCGTTACCTCATGAATACCTGGGGTTCCTTGTGAGGCAGAAACATGTTTGAGAAAAATTTGACAAAAAGGGTACTTCTAATAGAGCAGCCAAGTAGTTTTAGCTAATATTAACAATTTCTAGGCTCTAAGACAATGCAATTAATTATCAATCAAGAAAGGAAGAGTACAACAATGTGAAGGCAATCCTGTGTATTAGCTTTATTTCAAAGAGATAAGCCAAAGTACTAAGAGCATTAAATACCTTTTTAGAAAAGCAGTCACATAGGCCACTTTTAAAACTAATATTTTTTATTCTTCTCTTCTTCCGTTACAAATACAACTCCCTATAAAAAGTTAGCAAATATCAGATGTCAAATCTTACAAATTAACCAATTATAACAGTCAAAGACACAGGTCAATAGATCACTCTGGGGTTTAAAATTAAAATCTGGAAAATTGATAGGTCAGTGGCAGGTGCCAAGCAAACTCTGACCCTTCTGATGACAGTATGGTTACAGAAGGCTAGGGAGGGACTGTAGTTTGGTGACTTTAAGCCTTGGACTTAGAGTTAACAATACAGTGACTTTTGCCTTTTATATTTGAAGGCTGGTTGTGGTAGTTTTTACAGCTAATGTGATGGCAAATGAGAACATTTAAGATGAAAAGAGCTACTCTCCCTCACCTCAATACAAAGGTTGATCTTTTCATTGGCATAAGAAGCCACTTAAAACCATGAGCTTTACCAGGTATCAAAGTAAGGAGTAGAAAGGGATCAAAGAAGTACCTCAATACAACTTATGAGAAAGAATAGAGGAAGGAGGTTTTGGCTAGGTAAATGAGTTTCATTCCTAGAAAGTGAGTGGTTTTCAAAATTAGTTTCCATGTCCTATTAAAAAATTGTCAAAACCACAGTAGTCATGTCAGTAGTTTTAGGCTTATAAGAGGTGGGAAAAATAATTTATCAAAATAATATTTTACTTTAATTGTTCCTATTCTAAAGTTCTAGCTCTTAAGAGACAATCTTGTTTAACATAAAGATTACTCAACTCAGAAGTTCTGAGTTCCAGTATGTATAATTTCAGGCAAGTCATTTAACCTCACTGAGTGGTTCAATTTCCTTATCTGAAAAACGGAGATGACATTAATTACGAGATTACTGAGCGGATCCAATGAAATAATGTATAGCAAAACAACTAGTTCACTGCCTAGGATATTGGAGGCACTTTCCAGTCATGGTCTCATGGCCCTACTCATTATCCTACACTATACAAAACATTTTACACCTTGTTGTAACTCTGCAGCACTGCTTTTCAAAGTGTGTACACCACTGGCATCAGAATCATCTATTATGTTTGTTAAAAATGTAGCTGGGACCCATCAGCCTATGAACTCAGAATATCTGAGGAGTACACGCCAGAAGTTTACATTTTTAATCAGCTCCCAAGTGATTTTCTCATATATTTTAAATTTGATTACTGCTGGTAAATTCAGAGCAACTTAATACCTTCCTAAACTGATTTCTGTTTTTGTTCTGTAATTGTTTGTTTAGCTTCTGAAGTCTGTGCAATTAATAAAAAATAAAAAAATAAAACCTCATCAAAATGTTCCGATGGTAGCAAACTAATCAGAGACTACAAGAAAGGGAAATAATGGTGGCATCTGCACAAAATGTAAAAATTAAAGTACTGCAAGCAGGTGAAGACTTATGAAATGCTAGCTGTAGAGCAGGTGCACTCAGAATGAGTGTTTTGGCTGTCTGGGACTGGTAAAGGGAACTGGAAGGATAAATTGTGGTTCTCTGTGCTGCCCAGGTTTGAGATGCTATGCTGTTTATAATGGTATCCCTGAACCAACAGCTAACTTTTACCCTTACCTCCAACCCTCTTAATCCAGTCTAGTCCCCATTCATGCTGACCCATTGGATAAGAAAGTTATCGGTGTATCAGTATTTGCTACAAAAAAAAAAGTGTCGTATGTCTCTTTAAATCTAATTTCTGCACTATACTCGCTGGCTTACAATTTCCCAAAATTCTCTTGCAAATAAGACAATACTTTCCCTTTCGTGGTTTTTGACTAGAGGTCCCCTCCTAAGCCTAGGTCTTCTACCATTTCAAAAGCGTATACAACATTCCTTGAGTTACTGGTACACAAATTCTGACCCAGACTACAGGTTATGTAACAATTTAACCTGATAATATGACGAGCAAAAAAAAATAGTCCTTCTCTTACCAATATCTTTTTATCATGTTCAACTACTAACAATCAAATTTGAGTTCTACTTTTGTGTGAAAAGCCCACAGGATTATAAAGCAAACTAAAGTCTGGGATGTCAACTGACTCCAAAGATGATTTTGACACAGGGGCAACATACTATGTAGTATCCTGAAAACTCAAGAACATAGAATTTGGATAACTATATGAATTGTTATCTCCCGTTTCATTATTTCTAGGAGGCATGTTTAGTGAATCCAAAAAAATAATTCTTAAACTTCACACCTATGCGCTGTTCAAATACTGAATAAGAAATTTTATATTATAGTACATGTTTAGTGAATCAAAAAAAAATAATTCTTAAACTTCACAGCTATGAGCTGTTCAAACATTGAATGGTAAGAGATTTTACATTATAGTACAAATAGGTTACTATGTTCAGATCTGGGGTAAATGTCTGCTTTAAAGAGGAATACATTAAAGAGAGAAAATAATAATTTAATATTCATGTTTTGCTGTATGGTTTCATATTTACACTTAAGAAAAAAATACTTGGTATAGTATATTTTGATCATTTCTTAGAGAATAGTGCTGCACTGGGAAAAAAGAAAATCTGGTAATTTAGTGATGTTCTTAGCTTAGTAACTGAGTTTTTATTATTTTGGCATTTAATATCTTTTGCACCAAGTTTCCTTGCAAAAACCAGATTTGAAAAAGGAAAACAATTCACTTAGTGAACTACAACATAAGTTCAGAATCCTTGTGTATATTTTCTTGGTGCCCTCAATATTCAGTGACCAACCCTCCCAATTTGCCAAGGAATGAAAGAATTCTCAGTATGTGGGGATTTCAGTGCTAAAACTGGAAAAGTGCCAGGGAAACTGGGACAGTTGGTTACTCTAGCTCAAAATCACGTCCCCATGTGTGTGTGTGCCTGTGTGTGTGTTAGTTACACACATTTAGGTAACTTAACCTTTGATTATCTATGCTAAAAGGAGATATGAACTAGTACAACCACTGAAAATGCAAATACCTTGACTGAGGCAACACCCCCCTGAAAATCTTTTAAAATCAGAGTGGTTAATAAATAAATTCAGTCTTTTAATTTACCACACCAAACTTATTACAGAAGTAAGAATGGGTAAGAAAAAGGCCAACAATAAGAGGGTAAAAAAAGTGAAGGGAAAAAGAAGACTATTTTCATAAGTAAAATTATTAAATATTTATTCTAATACAGAAGAAAAATGTTTCTTAAATTATTAGCCTGAAAGAATTTGGTCTTTTTCCAGTTAACTTGTTTTATCTTTGGTACCAGTAAGACTAAGAGTTCAAAGAGAAAAAGATTCTGAACTTTAAAATTAATTTTTAAAAAATAGTTCATTATTATTAATTTCAGCTTGACAATTTAATAATCAGAGGAAGAATTTTTTCAAAATCTTTTACGTTATTCTGGTATTGTCTTTCCTTTTTTAAAACATCTTGAAATTGAGGCACATTTAACTAGCCGCCTTTAATCCTTCTTTGAATTTTTTAAAACATCTTGAAATTGAGGCACATTTAACTAGCCGCCTTTAATCCTTCTTTGAATTTTTAAAAGACATTTCTCAAATTAGCTGGGCATGGTGACATGTGCCTGGAGTCCCAGCTATTCAGGAGGCTAAGGGAGGAGGACTGCTGGAGCACAGGAGATCAAGGATGAAGCAAGCTATGATCACACCACTGTACTCCAGCCTGGGCAACAGTATAAGACCCTGTCTCCAAAAAAAAAAAAAGTATTTCTCAATCTACACATTTTTGGGGAAAAGTAACAGTAATTATTGGTTAGAGAAATAATAGTCATTACTGGTGAGAGAATTCACCTAAAAACAAGTGAACCCTAGAAGTTATTTTTTGCTGCATGGTATTTTAAAGAACAAACTGCTCTTGAAAGCATCAATTTTTTTCTTTTTTTTTTAACATCATCTTGCCAATCTTTTTCTTTTTGAGACAGGGTCTCCCTGCATAGCCCAGGCTGGAGTGCAGTGGTGCAAACACAGGTACAATCATAGCACATTAATTACAGCCTTGAACTCCTGGACTCAAGCAATCCTCCTGTTTCAACCTTCTGAATAGCTGGGACTACAGGCATGTGCCACTGCACCTGGCAAAAGCATTCTTTTCTTATTTTGTTCCATAAATGTGTGCTGTACATTAGTTTTCTTAGAGAAACACTAAACACTGAGAAAGTTTTAACATTCTTTACAGAAGCTTTTATAGAAATATAACTTTTATTTAGTAAAATCAGTGTCAGGAACAAACATATAGAACCTTAAAAACTGCAAAAACAGGAAAAATATCTATAATCTGAAATAACTTCTGCTTAAAACGAAACACATTATAGAAATATAACACTGTTGCACTGGCATGGATGTCCAAAAGTGTAAAAAAAAAAAAAAAAAAAAAAAAAAAAGAAATATAACACTGTTTTAGGTAAACAAACAACATAGGGTAGGGTACACATTGCTCACCTTTATGTATTTTAACAGTTCGAAATAGACATTTTCTCTGAGCACTCAGCCAAATCTCCTTTTGCTCCATCAAAATGTAGATGGTAACTCTAGATTTTGTTTAAAAAAATACCTACAGGCCGGGCGCGGTGGCTCACGCCTGTAATCCCAGCACTTTGGGAGGCCAAGGCGGGTGGATCATGAGGTCAAGAGATCGAGACCATCCTGGTCAACATGGTGAAACCCCGTCTCTACTAAAAATACAAAAAATTAGCTGGGCATGGTGGCGCGTGCCTGTAATCCCAGCTACTCAGGAGGTTGAGGCAGGAGAATTGCCTGAACCCAGGAGGCGGAGGTTGCGGTGAGCCGAGATTGCGCCATTGCACTCCAGCCTGGGTAACAACAGCGAAACTCCGACTCAAACAAAACAAAACAAAACAAAAAAATACCTACAGTATATTAGGAGCAAATCTCCTGGTTCTTCCAAAAATAACGATCACATCTTAGCACTTACGTTGCATTTTTGGTTAATAAGTGCTTTCACAGAGATTGTTTCATCTTATGATCATAACTCTGACTAAGCAGGGCACCTGTTACTTTGACAATTTCATAGCAAATAAAAAAAAAACAGCCATAGTGTTTACGCTGCTCTAAGAAGATAATAGGAATAATGGATGAACTGAATCATATTTAAACGCTGAGCGAAGGGAGGGGAAAGATTAAGTGATAAGGAGAAAAAGAGTACAAAAATAAAAGACTTATGATAAATATAAACATTATAGAAAGAATGACAGGAATGTTTAAAAAAGAAACATCCTATCTTGCTGCTAGTCTTGAAACTACCATAAAATTAAAGGAGAAAGGAAAGGGAGACGGTTCTGCCAATACTGAACTGCTAACACTTTGGTACCCAAAGAGAAAGTTAACTCTGCATCAGCCTCTTTAATAAACAAATTAAAATGAAAACAAATTCAAAATTAAAGATAAAAATAATATTCACATTATTATGTACTAAAATGCTTTAAAATGTTTATAATATAGGAGAATACTTATAAAATGAATAAATGCAAGTCAATAAACAGTCTGACAATCATATAAAACAAATCCCATAAAAAATTTGAAAGGAAACACTAAAATATTTATAGCTGTCTGCCTTGGAAGATTAAACTACAGGATATATATTTTACTATACGTAGTATTCATTTTCCAAAAATAAATAGAATACCTCTAATATATCTCATTTATTTAAATATGTATAATTTAGTCTGGAATGTGTTTTTGTACTTACATCTCAATTATCGATGGGGTAGAGTGTTAGTGGAGAGAATCTGATCTGAGAGCCAGGGATCCAGGGTTCTACTTTTGGTTTTGCTATTTATTAGCTCTGTAACTTTGGTCACACAATTGATCTTCCCTGAGTCCTTGTTGCATCATTTGTAAAATGAGCAGCCTGAACAAGGTGACCTCTTGGTCTCTTCGAGCTCTAGAAATGCTTAAGTATTTCACTGAAGAAATAAGTGAGGGCATAACCCATAGGGAATAGTGATGCAGTTTTATGTACTGTTTATATTTTCAAACTGAGACACTATTTGAATTCTAAATATCAAGTAGTGCAATGAGCATAATAACATTAAAACTACAGATGTATCAATATTCTTGACAAGAACCATCACAGGTGCCTCCAACCATTTAAAAAACTGGAATTTTTCACAAAGTCTGATTATTTCTCAGAAGTTCATATTGTCAACATTATATCTAAAGAATGGCCATCACAGAATTACTATGCTTAAAATTTAGGGTTGAAATTTTTAAAATAAAATTTGTTTTATTTATTTATAGGTTTGAATTATTTCTTGTAAAAGATTTGAAGAAAATCATATTCCTTTCAGGAGAGTGCTCATAGGTCTCAATATGAGTAAGATATGGACCAAAGGTTTCAAGTCTTTGGAATACACTCTTAATGCAATTTGCCGCAGCTCTTCCAATACCGGCCCAGGATCTTTTCAGGCCACTGTGGCTAACTGACAAGGTATTTAGTTCCCTGAGTCACCTTACAGGGAAGGCACAAGACTATTCTGAAACTTGTTCTGCCCTCTGCATATGAAATGCACTGTTTGCCAAGGATTGGCACATAGCTTCTCTCTGCTCCTGTCTCATTATGTTCACTAAGTATATGATTTTAAAAATACAACACTTCTACTAGGCACACTAAGGGCCTCATTATTCGAAACAGTTTATAGAAATTGTACAAAAGATATTATGTTGGAAGTCCAAATCCTAGAAATCAAAAACATACTTAACGCTGGTATCAAACATGTAACTCCACAACTGTTGTTCCTTGACCCCTCACACTTGACTATAAACAGCAGGAACTCACCTTGTCCTTGCAGGGCCTTTGGCAGTTTTGTGCTGCACATACAGCATTCTCATCATCAGATTCCTCTGCTCCTGACCAGTCATACTTTGAGGGGATGTCCAGCACTTTTTTCTCTCTTTTCTTCTCAGTGCTCTCTTTCACAAGTTCAACTTTGGCTGCAGCAGCCTTCTCCTTCTTTTTCTTTCTTTCTTCTTCTTTTGCTAGTTTCTTGGCCAGTTTATTCAGCTCCTTTGATTTGTCTGAACTTAATTTTAATTTCTTCTTTTTAGGTTTGTCCATTTTCTTTAACTCCTTGGACTTCTGTTTTCCTTCTCCAAAAAGTTGCTCTACCTTTTCTAGCTTCCGCTTCCGTTTCTTCTCTGAAGAATCCTTTCCTTTCACTTTCAGTGGTTTCTCTTCCATGCTGTCATCCTTCAAAAATATAAAATTAGGAACAACTTTAAAGCAAGACAGTTAAAAAACAGTGTTACTCTCTTTTATGAGACACCTAGAATACACATTGAGAGAGACAGATAACCTCGAACAGAGGTTATCAGAGGCTGAAGGGAAGAAGAAATGGAGGTTTGTTAAGTGGGTATAGTTTCTGTTGGGGATAACTGAAAAATTCTGGAAAAGAAGAGTGGTGACAGTTGTTCCAACTGAATTGTCTACCTAAAAAGGACTAAAATGGTAAATTGTATGTTATGGATATTATGCTACAATAAAAAAAGATTTATGGGCCGGGCGCGGTGGTTCACACCTATAATCCCACCACTTTGGGAGGCTGAGGCGGTTGGATCACTTGAAGTCAGGAGTTTGAGACCAGCCTGGCCAACATGATGAAACCCTATCTCTACTAAAAATACAAAAATTAGCTGGGTGTGGTGGCACATGCCTGTAGTCCTAGTTACTTGGAAGGCTGAGGCAGAAGAACGGCTTGATCACAGGAGGCAGCAGTTGCAGTGAGCCAAGATCAAACCATTTGCACTCCAGCCTGGGCAAGAGATGAGAGACTCTGTCTCAAAAAAAAAAAAAGATTTATGTTATTCTAAAGATATTTAAAAGACATTTTAAGAAGGCAAGTACACTATTCAATGAAGATAACAGTGGAAAATAATGACAAGTCTGAAATGAAATATTTAACTTATTTTCAGCTTAGTAGGAGAAAAAGGGCACAAAAAATTTCAGTGTTAACATATTAACACAGTCTGTAGCATCTCTGTTAGAGATGAAAACATACAGAAAAAGTTAGCTGTACTAAATTTTGTAGTAACTTTCAGGGTCTTCAATTTATTACTAGTAAAGTATTAACCCAATTAATGAAAGTATTGGTGGTTATTTTTTGAAGTCAGAAAAACATAAAACTGTATCCACGATCTCATTACAAAGAATATATAATGACTTTGCCAAGGGCCAGAAAACAGCTCATGTGACCAAGCCCAAAAAAAAAAAAAAAATTGTCATTTTTGTTTTTAGCGTTTTAACATTGCTGCTAGTATGTGCCAACGTAATAAACATTTAAAATTTTCATATAAAAGTGTATCTAGTAACAGAAAGAATGGGAGGAGGCATCAGAGAAAGAATTACTGAAGAAACATAACATAAACTTAGTAAATTCCTTAAGAAAAAACATTTGAGAATTCATTTTGCTGTAGATTTGAGACTTGAAAATCTAAGAATCAGCAGAATCCAAAAGACTGGATTATACGTGCTTTAACTCTATTACATCTTGAACAAGATATTTAACCTCTTAATACTCTGTGCTTCCTTATCTGTAAAGAGGATTGCGTAAGATAATGAATGAGAAGAAAATGCTTTGCAGACTGGAAAACACTATCTAAATTAGGCTACCTAGATCTGACTTCCAAAACAAAAACAAACTATAGTATGCTAAATGTATCTGTCTCTACTATTGGTGATATGGTACCATTCCATTACATGGAAACAAGGAAACTAATAAAAGAATACTGGGAGTCAAATGGCAAAGTTAGAATCCAGGTCTCTATTTTTACTGGAGGTGTGACCTTAATTTTCTACCTCTCATACTTACTTTCTTCATATACAGAATGGGTAAAATACTTGCTCTGTCTCTCCCTCCCCTACCTATCCCTCTTCAAGACAGTGGTGAGGACCAAATGGATATGGTATCATCATCGCATCAAATGAGCTCATGGAACTGCTATGTAAGTGTGTTATATGAATGTGGACTTTCTCTCCCACCCAGTCTACTTCTGTTTAACCATCCCTGTGCTTCTTTTTTATAGCCACTATATATTATCCCCTAATTTTGGGCCCTCCAATAATGGGAGTCTGGGCTAAGGAGGTTGTTCTAAACTGGATGGTTATCAATCATGCCGTTTCCCGTCCCCTTCTTTTAAGCAGAAATGGCCTTTTTTCAACTTAGATACTACATAAAAACTCAATAAAGAAAACCATAAGTCAGATCTCTGGTGTTTAACAACAAAAAAGACAGAAAGAAACAAAGAAAGACAGGGAGAGAAAGGGAAGGGGAAAGGGAAGGAAAGGAAACAGGAAGATAGCACAATTTCTTAGGCTGAAGTGGGAAAGTAAGCCAGCCAGATTACTGCTGTCAGCCATCCCTTTGCTAACATTTATGATACTGATACCCTCTGAGAAACCCAGGCATTCTAGTTTTAAAATGACTGTTTAAATAAGCATAAAATCCATACCTCCATGATATGTAAGAATCTGTCTTCGGAGGGTGGGTGTGTGGCCTGCAAAATCCGCCATATGTGTTGAGTCTCATCCAGAGATACTTCCAGGAGATCTCCAACCATCATAAGTTCTTCCAGTTGGGCCTTAGCTCCAGGTGACAACTCCAGCACTGGAGGTTCCAAACTTCGGGGCACCAAAGGGCTCTTCCGAGGTTGTTTCCTTGGGGTGCTGGAACCTTTCCCAAAAAATACCATAAAACAAAGCAAAAAAAAAAAAAAAAAAAAATCAAACTAAGGAAAAACATGCTTTCAAAGTAAATACTTAAAATAGCCCCCATTCCCCAATACTAACTTCAGATATATGGATTCATTATATCAGTATGAAAATGTAAACAGAATTAGAAACAAATACGGACCAAAAAGATGAACAATTCCAGGCCCTACTCTTAAAAAATGGTTTAGGGTTATTCATAAAAAGCAGTTCTTTCAGCTGGGTGCAGTGGCTGTCACACCCGTAATTCCAGCACTTTGGGAGACCAAGGTGGATGGATCACCTGAGATCAGGAGTGCGAAACCAGCCTGACCAACACAGTGAAACTCCATCTCTACTAAAAATACAAAAATTAGCAGAGCATGGTGGGGCATGCCTGTAATCCCCCCTGCTCGGGAGACTGAGGCCGGAGAATTGCTTCAACCCCGGAGGGGGAGGATGCAATGAGCCGAGATCTCACCATTGCACTCCATCCAGCCTGGGCAACGAGAGAAAATCCATCTCAAAAAAAAAACAACAAAACAATGGTTCTTTATCCTGAATGTTAATCTCTATTGAGTCTTTATCATGTGGCAAGAGGAGTAGGGAACCAGAATCTCTCCATTTTAGAGTATACCAAAAGATTAAGCAATTAAAAAAGCATTTGGCTGCCATATATATATATATATATATATCTCCTTCTAATGAACAGACAATAATACACCGTGTTCCATAAAATCCTGAATTTTATTATAAAGAGATAAACACCCTCCATCTTCCAGAGCTGTGACCTAAAGTAATGTGACTTGTTTTCGGTGAGGGAGAGAAAAATGAACATCATAGAGAAAATCACCCTCCAAGGAAAGGAAGAACTTTCTAACAATTAAAGTTATCCAAAACCAGAATAAATATTCTTAAAAAGCAGTAGTTACTCAACCCCTGATAATGACCAAATAGAAGGTAAAGGACTACCTACCCAGAATTTTCTAGAACTGAGGCCTGGGACTAGACAGCCCCTAAAGTTCTAATTAGGACTCTATAATTCCATGTACGTTTTCAGGTTCTGAAGACAGAAAATGCAAATAGGAGACTGGCTTTTCCTAAGGAAAATAGCATTTTCAGGTTCCATTAGCATTTCATGGCCGAGAACTGTATTCCACTCAAAAGGGATTCACAGTCTTGATTAACATAACGTTTTTTCTCACCAGTTTTAGGTTTATCTTCCCCACAGTTTTTTAAAGGAGTAATACCTTGAGAACAACTCTTAGAAGCAGAAGAATAAGCATGCTCTGCACAAAATGAAGGCGCTGTCCACATGTGAGTCACCACCTCCTCAGATTTGATGGGAATTTCTTCATCACAAAAAAGATTGGGTTCAAGACTACTAGAGGACTTCACACTAGCTGTGTCCTGAAGAAGAAACAAAGGGAAGTATTCAGAATTAGAGTCATTTAACTTATTTTACAAGTCCCAAAATGGAGGCTTGTTTCAAGTTAAAGCTTCTAATATACTAAATATGAGATTAAAATTAAATATCTTATGTTAAATAAGATAGAAAATGTCAACTGGGGAGAAAAACGGTAATTGTGGCAGGCCAGGTCTCCATTAGTAACCAAAGAAGTTTCCACTAACACATTACCATAATTCTGATGAATGTGCAAGTTAAACAGGAATGACTGCAAAAACGTGACAACAAACCCATTAAGCTATCACCTGGGTTTTCTGAGACTCTAAAGCCTGATAAAATTATGAAGGCATTCTTACACACACCTTGTACCAGGGCCCACTTAAGATTAAGAAATTTTTCCAAGTCTCTAGAGAAAGCTTTCCAGAGCCTGGACCCTACTCAAAGATGCGATACAGTTTGAATGAGACACTCTAGCTTGTAGGTGCACTCCCACACATAGGCATAGAGTTTAGAATGAATACAAGCATTGAAAAAGACTTGTAACTTTGCATTGGTTTGGTGAGTTACTCCATAACCAGCTACAGAAATAAATTCCCTTCTTTCTCAGTCAGTCTGCATCTCCTTACTGGACTGCGAGAACAAGCAGCTGGACCTCGACCTGTCCAGGAATATAATGACTACA